CACTCTCACTCTCACTCTCACTCTCACTCTCACTCTCACTCTCACTCTCACTCTCACTCTCACTCTCACCTCACTCACACACGCTCATGCCCACGTACACACGCTCACGCTCACGCTCACGCTCACGCTCACGCTCACGCTCACATTCACTCTCACTCTCACTCTCACTCTCACTCACTCTCACTCTCACTCACACTCACATTCACACTCGCTCACACTCACACTCACACTCAGACTCACACTCAAACTCACTCTCACTCTCACTCTCACTCACACTCACATTCACACTCACCACCGCCGCCGCCACCATCACCACGATCTCCACCTTCATCATCACGTCTTTGGACCTCAATGCGTCTAGATCTCTAGACTTTCTGCTGCCGGGCTAATCGGTTTCTTTTGAAGCCTTTTTTGGTCTTCTCCAGGTACAGTAGTTCTTTGTCAATTCTGGGCTACCGCGAGATAGTATCAGTAATCTTTTGAACCTTGCATTTCTGTTGAGCTAGGGGAATAGTGTATTTCCGTGGGTTTGTGCAGCTTTGGTCCATGTTCATGGGTGCTCAAGTCGGACAGGGCTGTTTTGTTGGGGCCGTCTTTTCTAGGTGAGTCATTGATGCGTGCAGACAGCGTCCGGCCAATCTTTGACCAAGAGACCTGGCATGTAATCTTTGAGGCTTTGTGGACTTCGTCAACGAATCACACATATGAAGCCTTGTTAGTCCTGCAACCACTGACAAACACCCATAAGTTAATGCCACAAATATCCATATGAAAGTCCCAACGGTGGTCAATGAGTCAGACTAGCCTTGAGGTGTCAGAGGAATGGCAGCAAGACAAGCAGGTCAACGCCCCTTGTCTTAAAAAGAACCCACTGGTGTCCACACCAGATATGGGTGTTTTACATACGTGTTGCGTCCTTCGGCGTCCTTTCCGGGTGAGGAAGACATGTGCGATAACTCAGCGCCTTTGGTGGATGAGATGCCCAGCGATCCAATTCCATGAGACTGGCCAGCCTTCCAAGATGGATCGAGATCATCGATCGGACCTGGTTTGAAAAAGGGCAGAATGCCCAAAAAGTTAATAGATACTGTGTATAGAATGGCTTCATGCTACAAGTATGACATGCTACTGGTACTAGAAGAACACAAATCGCTTTTCCGACGCAAAGGACGTCCATGAGTAGCCTGGGCCGGGTGAAAGATGGCCCGGCCCCGGAAAGTGGAAGCTCCAGCCGGGCTCAATGTAGCCCTACCAATCCCTACCATTGTCGTGAAAAAGACACATGCCTGATACGTCATGTTGTGTTGAGGTGTTGGATTGCAGATCCTGGCAGAGACGCCTGGCTGTGCCAGAAGCGATTTCTTGTTGGAAGCCTTTGCTCGAACGGCCTTTAGAGGCCTAGTTATGCAGATTGAGGGCCAAGTCATCCCCCAAGCAAACATCCCTGCTTTTCACAGCATTCGACTTCACATCTTCGGATCGCTTCACATCCACACCGTGAAGCCTCTGTGACACCTCCGTGAGGCTTCCGCGAGCTGAGCTTCAACCTACTAGCGATGGCCTCCAACCTAGGAGGGATGGCCTCCAACGAAGAACATCTAATCAGAAGAAAACAACCGCCCAGCATAAAACACCCTAAGACTTGGACTTGCCACGGTGGCCTCGTGCAACGGCCGCACTCGCTGGCCGTCGTCGGCCGTCGCCTCTCGTCGCCTGTTCCATGATAGACTTTGACGAGCTTGACGAGGTGCGCAGGTCAAAACGATTGTGTTCAAGTATGTGGTTGGTATTTTCATGCTTTGTCAACATTATCTTCGATTCAATACGCCAGATTGCTGATTTGGGGTGAACAAGTGTTGTCGGTTTTGGGGTCTACTAGCAGTCGGCTACAAGTAGGGCTTGCAGGTTGTTGATCCAGGTTGTTGCTGCGTTTCTGGAACATGGAAAGGTCGAACCTGAACGCCGGCTCTATGACATTGTGGTCTTTGGCTGCACCGGTAGCTCGACAACCAATTGCTTGGCAAAGATGTGAGAATCATCGGATGAATGTCGCAGAAAGAAGTTCACTATGCTAGGCTAGTCTCATGAGTAACTCCACATACATGTCAAATCATGTCAATGTCCAACAGTTCCTAGGCTTTAGGCGGTACACGCAGTCACACAAATCCCTTGTGCAGGCTTCAGTGGTTGCCTCGTGGTAGAGCACCTAGATATGCTCTTAGAGAAGGCAAAAGAGAAAAATGTCTCCTGGGCCTTGGCGGGAAGGAGTGAGTGGAGCACTGTGGTAGCTTGAAAACTTGGGTTGTTGCAGCAAGTTCTATCTAGCGATGCCACTGCTTGTTCAAGTACTTTTGGCCGAGATGCAGGAACCGCGACAAGCTGGCGAAAATGGCCAGCAAGTGTCGAACACGACCGAAGGCGATGGAACTGCAGACAACAACTGTTTGATTTGTGATCATGTTGGGAGCACCAGGGCAGAGGCTGGTTCAAAAACCGAGAGTAGGGTCAGGTCATTTGATTCTTGGCCATGCGGCTTTCCAGTTTGCCAGACTCAGTTTATCCATACCTTTAGCAAGAACACGATGTGAGAGGCTACACGCACAACAGGAGCTCCAGTAACCAGCAATCAACGAAGCCATGAGATCAGCACGCTGCAGGTGATCGTAGCCTCTACCCCGGAGGAGATTCACCAGATGGCTGAAGAGGCCACGGTCATCATTGCCCTTGCAGGACGGAGATTGACCTTCAACTTTGACAAAATCAGAGATCTTCTAAGATCAGTTGGATGAAAGAAACATGTCACGATTCTGCTTATATACTTTCCTTGGTGAAAGCTTGGTTCGCCATCCTTGCACTATGAACACCGAACATGTTGCTGTTTTGTCTGAGAGCGAGAAAGAACTAATGACCGTCGGTTTTTTCCGCCCCACGCCTCACGCGCGGCAAATCTTGCCTGGGACGACGCACTTTAGTGCATGCAATTGCACGCAGCATTTGGAATAGCCTCGGTTTTGTTGTCGAGAGGTTGTCAAAGACCCATGAGTCATCAGCGGCTCAAAGCAAACGAAGAACAACAGGAAATGTCGTTACCAGACGTCACTGAACAGGCCTAAAATGGCTCATGTTAACTCGAAAGCATTTGTTGTGCACTCCAGGGCCTTACTTGGACTGCGGCGAGCAGGTCGTGAAAGCGTGTGTCGGAAATCCCAGCGCAAGTGAGCATGTCGTCGGTGGTGAAAACCAAGCTCGATATGGGAATTGAAAAAAATTCTCTCGAACGATGCAGTGGCTTTGTTGGCAGTGTGGAGCTCGCCCAATGCTATGAGTCATATAAAACCGACATGCGATGGGATCATCCGAGGTTGAGAAAGGCACGCACTATGTGGACATCACGGGGGAGGTGCGTACAAACAGCCAGCTGCGGAGTTTCTGCGCGTGAGATTGCAGGTTAATTTTGGCCACTTCCTCATCAGTAAGTACCACCAGCAAGCTAAAGAAAAGAGTGGCTTGGCAGAGATCAAAGGGTCGTTACAACGTGTTCAATCACTGACATTTTTAAACTGAACCTAACCAACAATCTAACTCCTAATCACTTTTCTCAATAGTGCTTCATGGACGAAAATAGCAAACATTTTTTTTCTCTGTCAGAACATGTTATTTGGACGAGGCTTGCGGCTTGTGCAATTTGCGGGCGCAATGTGCGTGCCAGATGACATGGGAGCATACTTGCTCGCTCGCTACTTGCCTCACCAGTTCTGTCGCCAAGAAGTATTCTGGCAGAGTTGTCAATGGACATGAGCGGCAGAAATGGGACAAGCTGATAGCTGCAGATAGCATGCATTTTCATCAACACTTCAAGGCTTGCTTCAGACCCCGCATACCGCGGCTTCAGAGGACTCCTATAGTGAGATTTTGGCTTTTTGTCTAAGGAAAGCTGGGCCCCTTGAAGCAGCTCCGGGTTTATACCTGGGGCTATAGCTTCCGGGGTGGTGGATCCTTCCAGACGGGCCTCACGGTCGTGGAGTCACTTGGCCTTTTCAAAGGCGTCGAAGGACGGCCGGGACTCGCTGATCTTCCCCACCAGCCACGCATTGTTGTTTTTCCCGAATGCGTAGCGAAGGGTTTTCGTTTACTGTAACTCTGGAGAGTCTTGTTCGCGACTCGTTGTCGTAGCGTCCGCAACCGTTGTCAATCGTCCGCCACTGTTCGCAACCGTCCACGGGTGGGGCGCTATGGCACTCACATTGGGCGACGTGTCAGGTTCGTGTGAAATAGATTGAAATATATAGCGAGGAAACGTGTGGAAACGTGAGAGGATGAAGTGTGGAGGGTGACTTCACAGGTGCAGCGTTTTGTGAGATCAGAACGTGTCGAAGCGTGTGGTGTGGTGCACATTTTGCTGAAGCTACGAAGACACGATATTGTCACTTTTTGTGGCAGGCGCAGGCGCAGTGCTTTGTGCAGGATTTGAGGTGTGGAAGTGCAAGTTTCGTGGCAGGCGCAGGGAATCGTGAGGTTGCGAGGTGTGGCGGAGGTCGCATGTCGTGGCAAGCGCAGTACTTTGTGCGTGTTGGAGGTGGACGTGCAAATTTCGTGGCGGGCGGGGAATGTGAGGTTGCGAGCTATGTCGAAGGCGAATGTCGCTGTGACATTGGGATTGGCGTGTGAGCGGGTGTTGTTTGGAGGGGCTGGAATCGCGACACTGCTTGGCAGGGCTGCTTGATGTGTGCTTTGATGGGGCTTCCCGCTTGACTGTGGGAGGAAGTCTCCTACGAAATGTTCGTTTTGGAGACTTTGACTGACTTTTGGATGAAGTCTACGCTCTTTTTGCAGACTTGAGTGTGAGGTTTTGGGGAAGTCTCGTGCGAAACGCTCGTTTTGGAGACTTGAAATGCCCATTATGCAGACTCGACGTGTCGGTTGACGTTTGGAAACTTTAGTAGTAGTGCCCCACGAGTGTCCCACAAGAGTGTCCTACAGAGTCCTACAAGAGTGTCCCGCAACAGTGTCCGACAAGAGTGTCCTACAAGAGCGCCCCACAAGAGTGTCCCACAAGAGTGTCCGACAAGAGTCCACACGAGTGAGTGTCATACAAGAGTGCCCACAAGAGTGTCCTACAAGAGTTTTCCACAAGAGTGTCCCACAATAGGGTCCTACAAGAGTGCTTCGCAAGAGTGTCCTCCATGAGTGTCATACAAGGCTGTCCCGCAAGAGTGTCACAAGAATGTGCCACGAGGGTGTTCCGCAAGAGTGTCCGACAAGAGTTTCCTTCAAGGGTGTCCTGCAAGAGTGTCTAACAAGAGCGTTCCACAAGAGAGTCCTACCCGAGTGTTCCGCAAGAGTGCCCTGCAAGAGTGTTCTACAAGTGCCCCACAAAGAGTGTTCCACAAGATATTTCCGACAAGAGTGTCCAGTGCTTCGCAAAAGTGTCCCACAAGAGTGTTCCGCAAGAGCGTCCCACAAGAGTGACATACAAGAGTGTCCCACAAGAGTGTCTCGCAAGAGTGTCCCGCAAGAATGTCCGACAAGAGTGTTCTACAAGAGTGTTTAACACGAGTGTCGTACAAGAGTGTCCCGCAAGAGTGTCCTACAACAATTTCCGCAAGAGTGTCCCACAAGAGTGAGTGTCATACAAGATGTCCCCCAAGGGTGCACAAGAGTGTCCCACAGGGGTTTCCGACAAGAATGCGTCCTACAAGAGTGTCCCGCAAGAGTGTCCTACAAGAGTGTCGCGCAAGAGTGTGGTACAAGAGTGTACCGCAAGAGCGTCGTACGTGAGTGACCCACAGTGTCCGACCAGAGTGTCCCGCAAGAGTGGCCGACAAGGGTGTCCTACCAAGAGTGCCCACAAGAGTGTCCTACAAGGGTGTCCCACAAGAGCGTCCTTCAGAAGTGTCATGAATCCTAAGTGTCATGAAGTGTCCTACAACAGTGTCCCGCAACAGTGTCCTGCAAGAATGTCCGACAAGGTGCCCGACAAGAGTGTCTTACAAGAGTGTCCCACAAGAGTGTCATACAAGAGTGTCCCGCAAGAGTGCAGCGCAAGAGTATCGCGCAAGGGTGTCCCTCAGAAGTGGCAGAGCTGTGGACTCAGACTGACCACTTGGTATGACGCATTTAGTGCAGCAAGCAGCTTCTGGGAGCTGTGACCTCAAAACTGTCAACTTATGTGGCCAAATTACACCTGAGTACGTGAGCGTTGAAGAGTGTCCCACAACACTGTCCCACAATAGTGTCCCACAAAAGTGTCCTACAAGAGTCCTGCAAGAGTGTCCCACAGAGTGACGAAAGTGTCGCACGAGAGTGTCCCAAGCGACAGAGAGGGCACTAGATGCAAGTGGGTGATTTCCATGTCTGCGGTGAGGCAATTGGCGTCGCCTCCACTTTTGTTTGGACGGTCATGTCTGGAGCGCCTGAGAATGTCTCAACTTTCGCATACTTACCAAGGTGTTTCTTTCGCACAGAATTCTTAAGCAAATTGCATATAATTACTTGTGCTGGCTGAAGGCGAATGCTGCCTGATTCAATGGCCGTGTCTTGATTGCAAGATGATCAATTTTCCACTTGCAAACATCAATTCCAGGAGAGGGGCTTAGTTGTTCGGAACTAATTTGTGGTTTCGAAGCACCAACAGGTTGATCTAAAAGGAACCATGCGCTCCACGAGGATCTGGTGATTCATGATTGAAAGGTACTCAATTCGAGCTGCCGAATTTGAGCTGTGTGGCTCGAGTGGGTTGGACAGAACGACACCTGACACCCCGGCCCAAAAGCAAACATTTTGTAAGAAGCACGCAATAAACCTGTCAAGAAACGGAGATTTGAAACGAACTCATCTCGCCCAGTTTTTTCACTTCTGTACTTTCATTTGTGCCCTCGGCATGCCTTTATGAGCCAGTAGTGGCAGCAGCTTTGCCCTGAGCAATGGAGAGCTGACATGCTTGTAAAGACACATTTGAACACATTTTGCTGCAGCAAAAGAAAGAACCCTTTTTGGACTTTTATGCGTGGATTTGCCTTTAGGGCGGCGGGGGGAACTTCCTATCCTATCCTGCGTAAGTAGTAGCTGCTTAAACTACTAGCTACTAGCTACCGTTTACTACTACTACTACTACTACTACTACTACTACTACTACTACTACTATTACCACTATTACTACTACTACTACTGCTGCTGCTGCTACTACTACTACTACTAGTAGCTACCTACCTACCTACCTCACCTCTAGCGGCCTACCCCCCCCTCCCCGCGGGCCAAAAAGTACTTGGCCGCCCAGCTTTGAGTCGTTTGAGGCATGCTGGATGCCGCCGGAGAGGGTTCAGGGCGAGTGGTGCATTCTGGGCCAGCCGGTGAGGCTTTCACTCCCGATGAGAAAGCCAAGGAAAAGAATCCATGTATATAGATCATGGTGTCAAGTAAACTCAAAAGAAGCAAGAGAGGAGTCTCTGGATTTGAAGTTCACATAAGAAGCACAGACAGTACAATGTGACAAGTGTTCACAACATGCTACAGATGACAGCGACAGATGACAGCGACAAATGATATCGACTCAATCGAGCCTTTGTGGCCAGGTCGCGATTTCTTCTGGCTCCCGCTGGTTAGAGAGTTCAAAGACTGTGCCGCGCTGCCGACGCTCCGTTTTGTCCGTGACTGGAGTGGGGTCTTTGGTGGGGTCTCAGCACGCTCCCGGCGCCACCCGGCAGGACTTCTTCAGATGATGAGTCGAGCGCAGGGAGCCTTTGTGTCGACACGACTGTGAGGATCACTGCGCTGCTAGTGGGGAGTCTTACGCGGTCTGAGTTCTGCCTAGTTCTACCCAGGGTATGGTATGGCCCATTACCAACCAGCGTTACTGGTAATGGTATACACCCAAGCTGCACCTTCTCTTCCAGGCGAACGGATTCGGACACTCCTCAAAACCTGAAACACCTGCATGCTTCGCATTCATAAAGACGAAGAGCATCGGTTGAGTTGGGGGGCACGCATTTTTTCTTGTGTCTTTGGAAGCACTTCCAAGGCCAGTGAAGAGATAGTGCCTTGGATGATCTTGGATGCAAGTGCAAAGAACTCCGCACATCGCCGAGAAAGCATCGATTCTTCTCCACGACGCACGTACTTCTTTCTTCCCCAGGACGTGGACATCGTGGTCGGACCCAACCCCTCTCAGGCAACACTGGGAGCTAGATGCGAAGCTGTTGGTGATCCCACCGTGATAACTCTCCTGACCAGGCAGTCCGGCATATCATGACGCAGCAGTTTCAAAAATTAGTGGAAGGCTGGTGCACTGGGCCCGGGCCGAACGGTTTCTGCGAATTTTTGGAGTCTACAGGCATGTGTTTGGCTCCTGCCATCTCATGCGACTGCTCGGTGACTTGGGTTCAAAGATCTCATTTGTTACAGGCAGCGACCATGAAGGGCTTCGAAGGAGAGCAATGCAAGGCGGAGTGCAGATGCAGACATACTCTCACACGGCGACACAAAATAGGATGCCTCTCTAACATACTGCATACTAAAGGCTTGCTCAAGCTAGTTGCTGAAAGTGGGTTCACACCACTTCGATTGAGCAATACCGTTGAAGTCTGACCGTTCAGACCCGATAGGGCCCATCAGTACCCGAAAGAAAGTTGCGCTGAGTGACTGCCAGCCGCTGACTCAGACAGTGATTCGACAAACAATTGTAGCTCATGGGGCCGAACGAGCAACATTACCATCCATTGATCATGTATAGTATATAAGTATATATATATGTATTGTATATATATATACGTAGTACTTATATATATATATATTCTATGTATATAAGTCTTCCAGTACTGATACTATATGACTGCCGTTTGGTCATCTAGTAATTCTTGGCCGTCGGGACTGATGATGGGGGGGGCGTCAGCTGAAAATGAGGATCCTGAGCAGGATGTCGTGCCATCCCCAGAATTCAGCAGCTTGTAGAAGAAACAATTGTGTGCAGTGGGTAGGTTGTGACAGCAACATTGAGGTCAGATAGACAGCCCAGATCATTTGGAACTACGCTGCATTTGGGGGTCAATTGTACAATCTTATGCCAGGCCGGGGTTCGGCAAGAGTTTTAAGCGCAGATCAGATGCTGTGCGGATGCCATGGCGGAATTGGACAAACCTTTTCTTGGTACAGGTGTTTTTAACCAGGTAATTCTGCCTTTGGCTAGGTGTGCTCCTTCAGTGGCACTCTTCGGTATGAACCTGAGTTCTGCACTTCGATGAATCTCATTTGCAGAGGTTTATGATCTCGAATTGCATCATATATAGTCACTTCCCACCCACGTCCGAGGGCGTGCAAGAAGTCCTGGCTTTGTGACTTTTGTCATGCGTGCTATCCCAAGCATATTGTGTGACAAAAGTCTGCGATTGCTCGAACATCGATATGCAACACTTCACCACATTGGTTTGTTTGGGAGGTTCTTCATTTGGGGATACTCACATTCCATTTGACTTCAAGATCTCCTTCTTGAGCAGCACAGAATGCGCAGCACCGAATGGCTTTTGCAAGCGCTTTTCCTGATGAGGTTGTCGCCGCAGTGCCGCAACAGGCGAAAAGGCTCAGGAGCATGGCAAGCAGGGGTCCCAGCGATGGTACAATTTGAGAGGGAAAGAAGATGAAACAAGCAGAACTCCAAATAACAAAGTGGTCCTTGGAGTGAACTTTTCCCAAGACTCTCATTGTTTGAGAGACTCTTACAATGTGGCACAAATGCACAGATGCTCACGGATGCTCGTGGATGCTCAGCCTGAAAAGTGCTTGTCTTGGTTGATTTTTTCTGCCGCTCTTCGGCATACCCCATCCCGGTTACGCCGAATGACATGAAGACACACCTGAATTGTGTGAGGAAGCTCCCCCCCACCCTCAGCCGAAAAAAAGCTTCCTTGAAGAAGCATGAGCTGTCCTGCGTCCCTACCTAGGAGCGTCCTAATTAATGGCTACTAACTAGCTCACCTCTTATTTTTTAAAGCCTACCCTCTCGGCTTGAAAACGTAAAAACCATAAAACAAGACAAACACCCATAAATTCAAAAGCAACACTAAAACAAAACTATATATATAGGTGAAGCCGGTGGTGTGGGATGCCATTTACATAGTTTACTTTACATAAACATGTAGGAACCACATGAATAGCGCGAGCTATCATGCGCCCAGTTATGTACTAGGAACTTACTTGAGCTACTAGCTGCCTCTTCCTATAGCCGCCTGCCCCCGGGCTAAAAAAGAACGAAAGAACAGCGCAGAAAGAAAGAACTTTGCACAAGGTCTCTCAGCTGTCTCAAGAGCGCATCCTTGAGCTTTATGAGGCGGGCCGGGCCTTGACAACGGTAGGGTGACAACTTCACGAGTTCTCTTGAGCTCGATGATTACGGCGCAACTTGTTGCTAGAAGCAGTGGATCTGCTGCTCCCATGATTGTAATGGATTGCCGATGCTACTGCTTTTGTTCGAATTATATAGCCCTGAAATAATTGCAGGTTTCTTTCATTTGGGGGTCCGGCTCTGCTGCACTTGCCAAGCTTTTCTCATTCTGGCCACACCTGAGGTCCCAAGTGATTGAGATGAATTTGGGACATTTCCAGCTTTGAAACAGACCAAGAAGCCCTGTTTGGTGTGGCCACCGCCAGGCGCTTCAAAATACAGTTGAGAGGGGGCATGAGGATGCTCAGGCCGCATGCGAGATGAACGTCGCCCCCGACTGGGCGATTCGTTGGGGGAATTGGCCAGAGTCCTTGAACTTAAAGAGTGCAGTGAAGCGAAGATGATGCTCTGAAGCACAGTTTGTAAACAATATATAACAATATAAGCTTTGACAGCCGATGGTCTTGCTTTTGCTGAAAAAATCTTTGGTTGTTCTGCAAGCTGCGCTTCAAATGCTGCTGGTCTTGAACAACACGCGCTCAAACCAAACCAAGCTAGCCAAGCCCAGGATTTCCAAGCTGCCCTTTTCCAGTGATCAGTATAGGAGCCAAGACGCTTGTTTGTTTGTTTGTTTGTTTTTTTGTTTGTTTGTGTGGAACCCTTGGAATGAGACGGAGCCTTTAGGCTTTTAAGCAGGGGGGTGCAGAGCACAGTGGAGGCTGCACCCAACGACGAAGCTATCCACTTGTGCTAGAAGCAGAGCCTGATCAGCTCTGTGTACCTGCTACGTCTTGACTTTCTATTTCCTCCTGGGCCCTAAATGTAACTAGAATCTAGAACAAGCTTTCATGCCTTTGTGTCCGTTCTCTCACTGCAGTCAGGCATTCCTTGGAGCTTGAGACTCGTGGAAACTGTTTGGAAGCTTTGGTGTGTTCGAGATGGTAGGACCGCCTTGCTTGCATATTTGCATATTACCATATTACCTGGCTTACTCAGGCATTATCTTTGTATTGTTCACTTGGGTTTTGGGAGGTGGCGCAACGAAGTCGGACGTATCATATCTTGTGTGTGTGGGTGTGGGGGTGAGAGTTGGGCTGCGAATCCATGCCCTGCCAGACCATTTTAACACACCTGCGCGAGCCACATCAGGGCCATGAGGG